TGGAACGGTATCACTTCCTGTTCTAGTCCCAGGCTCCGATGACAGTTGTGTTCTGGGATTTGACAGTTATTCTCGGACATGGAGAATTCTCGAGATGCAACTTCACCCTTCTCTTCTAATAAACGAGGAGACGATACGACGCAATCCTGAAAATCTTACTATATGGAGTGTCTCGATAACGGAGGACCCCTCGATTCATTACCTGTCATAATCGGCCATGGCATCACGCGGCCAGTATATGCCTGCTTTTATGCCTCTTGGGGTAAGAACCGCGAAACTACCATGCGAAAAGAGGTCCTTCTTGATCGTTTCAGCATCTATCGTCGTATTTGCCGCGGGTTATTCGTAACAGAAAACTGACAGAGTCAAGATAAATCGACAGTGAATTGCATGGTTGTTCGTTCACCTCGAACGGCGCAGTGAACTCCGATTTGCGCGTTTTTTACGCACACCGTATCGTCCATGTTTTGACCAAAAATACTGTCGCGATATGGGGCTGCATCAGATCCTGAGACTCGCGTGCTGTCTGTATGGAAGATCGCAAGAAAGTTCTTGTCATGTGAATTCGACTGCCACCCGATCACTCACTTGTCATATCAGAGCTATGCCTGTTTAAACGCAGGCGTCTCACGCCCACGAGAGTCACCCTGGCTGCAGAACATGATAATCACGCTTCTGCTTTACCAAAAACAATATTGAATGGGCTACTGGAGCGGGCACGGCTTACGAGGATGGCCAGGCATCGAAGCAACGATTTTGATAACCTCTCATACCACTTTGTCATGTCTGCATCATTGATTTGCGACTGATGACTCGCGGTGGTTAGATAGTAAGGTCGACGTTGTACTCTCACTTGCGGCCATGTATTCTCAGCAGTGAATGGATGGGGGATGTAGGCGTTGTATCTCGTCTGTGCCCCTGTACGAATCGACTGATTTTGCGGCCTCTGGGGCCAGGTTTGAAAGGATGCGCTTCCCCGTGCCAAAGGTTTCCAACAAACCATGAAGGGGGGGTTTGAAATGGAAATTCGTCCCGTTTCTTTGGCTCAGAGAATCTCGTTTCCACGGTTGGCGTGATGTCTTCGCAGCCGTCTTCGGCTGCGGAGAAGCTCGGAAAGGCTCAGGCAATCTGTGGTGTGACTGTGACTGGATGTCGGGATTTCGAGGGTTCGATTGACTTTCGGCGAGATCTTGACATTGAGTCTATATAGGCAAGTTTCAGGGACCGGAACAGAGTCTGTTTGATTGGATGTGATATCCGGGGTATCTGAAATGAGCTTTCAGGAAGTGTTCGTGATGTGTGTATGGTTGGTGACTACACTTGGGATGTATCAGTCCATGGGCTGATGATCAGGACATGACATAGAGGTAAGGTAGCTAAGAAGAATTCCAGACGGAATTACTTGTATACAGTGGGCTAGTCCGTTGCCTTTTTCGTGTTTCAGTCATATTTTATCATGGCTCATAAGTTTTGTATCATCGGCACTCAAAGTTCGTCAGTTCGTGATGTAGGGTATGCTTGAACTCAACTGGTGCCGGAGGCGGCATTGTAACACTAGATTGCGACAGTAGTGGTTGTAGTACGTATAATATGGTAGGTGTAAGGTTATTCGTGGTATTTCTCGTTTTCTGGGTGGTTGACTTACACCATAGCTGTGATGTTCGATCAGGATGAATCACATTCGCATACGCATTTAGGGGAGTCTTACGGCACATCAGGTATCTCACTCTCCCAATTCATTACAGATGCCGTTCGGTAATTATTATATACAACATAACCCAAGACAATTAGAAGCAAGAATGAGTTTCAGTTAACAGTAAAATTGATTGGCAGTACTAATATATGTGAGGGGATGGTGTCCCATGTTCGCCAACACCACCAACTATTGCCTTTGGTAACAACTAGGAGTTTATACGAATCCAAAACAAGAAGATGGTCGAATGATGAAACATGTTTACCAGGCGTTGAAGCTACCGAATATGACAAACTGATTCTTGGTAGTGTTTCGCTGCGTCATATCTCATGCCTGCGAGGCAAATTGAAAGAAACAACCACAGTCAGTGTATGGGAGCAAGATGTCTGAATCACGGCCAGCATTTAGTATAAGAGCAATTGCTCCCACAGACGATAGGAACTTAACTTGGAAAGAAAGTAAAACAAAACTTACAGCTACTGTCCGGAATCAGCTGCAAATTCACATCTTCAAGCTGCCAACCTCTTATAATAATGTGTGTCCTGAAGTGCACCAAGTACGACTGTACGCAATGCCAGCGAGCTATAAGTGGCTCCGAGCAACTCCAGGAATGTCCAGAGTATAACCAGGGTATCAAATGCGAGACCACTAATGAGTATTTCACCGAGTATGTCTCAGCTGATCAGTGCGAAGTGTGTGAGATGCGTAGGATTGAGGCCGAAGCGGCTGCTGCGGCAGAGGAGGAGGCGAAGAAGGCAAATGCGACTTAGGCAGCGACAATAATGTGGATGGGTTAAATCAACGGGGCTCTGCCATATTATGCAATAGAGCGACGAGTGCCCTGGGCTGTATGTCTCTTGAACTGTGCTCTCTACTTCCTATATTTTTCTAGATGCCATCTGTATCTAGATTGTAACCGTGATAACGTAAACCTCCAACGCCATGCTAGTCAGATTACACCTCAAGCCCATTGAGGAAGATAGTACTTGACATTTTCATACACCAAGAACGTCACCCATGTTGCGGGCATCACCCTAACCACACCCGGTACCATACCACGATAGAACCCTCTGAGTCCATCCTCGGTCCATATTCTTACAACGACGCCTCTGATACCCCGACCAAATCGCTCGTCAGCTTGGTAGTTCTGGAGTCTACTCCGGAGTACTTGGTACGGATATGTGACAGCACCAGCGACGAATTTGGACAGACTCGATAACCCAACTGTAGCCTCAGTGGTCATATGCTCCCTTTCGATTCCGTGCCTCTCTCGACGCCGCGCGTGGTACCACTTCTTTGCGGGCTCGTATACTGCAAATTGCACAGCGCCGTGTGATACTCCTATCAGAGAGATGCCTAGGCCACGGTAGAAGCCCCGAATGCCTTCAGTCTGAAGAATGGAGCGGGCACCGGCCAACATGGAAGGATATGCACCATGAGAGCCTCGATCAGAGGATACCATGCGTACTTTGAGGACCCATATAGGGTTGGTCAATGTAGTCGTTGCTGCGCCGGCCAAAGCGCTGGCGATGAAGTAATCGCCTCCAGAGGGACGTCCTCCAAGCCGACCCTGCCACGTAGCGAGAGCGCGCTCGAAGCGTGACTTGAAAAAGAAGAAAGAGGCCCAGCTAGAAGCATTTCCGACAAGATTAGGCGTTAGACCGCGGTAGAGAGAGGCGACAGGGTGAGGAGTAGATGTTAAGGCACGGAGAATAGACACTGTTGTGGGACGCACAGCATCGGGGGCTGCACTACGATAGACTAGATAGAATTGTCAGACACTGAGATTTTACGGTAGGAGGGTAAAAGTCAATCAGCCATACTCTGCATGCGAGTCTTGACGACGTCGAGAGGATGAACAGTCAATGTCGCGACTGTACCAGCGCTGAGACCGGCGATGGACTCGATGGTCGCGGGAGAGAGTCCCGCATGGTCTGAGTCGGGCATATAGGAAGATTGGATAATTCTATAAGCCGAATGTCACGTTTCACGAGGGTAGAGAGCATAGAAGAGCGCCATGAGGTAGAGTGGTGGTTGGAAAAAGTTGAATGCCGCTGAAATAGTTATTCAATGCAATATTTCTGCGGATCTCAAAGCTACGGAAGCTCGGCCGAGGCTTCGACGTCACCAGAACAATTGTTGCATCTTCTGCCGTATCAAACCGAAACTCACTCACACGATCAAATTTCATGGAAAGAGTATTTTTGTGACAAGATTCAATTATGAGTGGTATACCCTTATTCTGGGCGTCATAGCATTGCAAGATGATACATGGTGATCTTTCACACTCATTCGTACAGTCAGTCAACCCCTCCTACCAAGCATATCTGCGGTCGTCGTCAAATTCTACCACACCGTGTCCCAACGCCATGAATGCTGGTGGTAGTTGTCCCTTTCTCCCTTGAAAAAACATCTCCACATGATAATGTACACTATTATGTTTTGTATAGCTGTAGAGCTGCTCCCCGCTTAGGAGAGGGGAGAGAGAAGGCTAAATGGAGTCAATTAGCATTGCTTACGTATGCGGTTCGTATGGATCGATGCATACCGGATGACTGAAGGTCGGGGCTCGCTTCGGGTGTAGCCTGGAATACATAATCAGTACTGCCGTTGCGATCGCACATCGTTAGTCGAGCTTGTTCGTACCCAGATAGAGGATCAGAGGAAGATAGCCACTGCAGCACAAATCAGTTACCACCCAGCAATGAAACCAAATATCGACGACATACTAGTGGATGGCGACGCGCGAAACGTCAATGAGCTTGGCAATGCGCTCCTGTGCTAATCGTTAGCTAAGCTGTGATAGATAGATACCTCTCCAAGCTATATCATACCTTGGACTCCTCGGAAAGGGCAAACATCTTGACTGAATTCGAAAACGTGTAGTTGAGGGACTTTGAGAAAGTTACACAACAAAACGATGCGGCTCAACCGGATGTTTCAAAGCTCAAGACTGAGAATCTATAGACCGCAGTCGCTTCTGGCGTTGGCGTTGACGTCTTCCCAAAAATTTCGGAGAGCTCTCGGGAGCTGGAAATTCCACCTCCGAATTGCGGACGTGGTGGGCGGAAGAACCTCGGTCGACGCCACATTTTCACTGGGCACCTTGTGTGGCTTACGTGACAAGGCTACCTCATACATCCCAACCATCAGCCAAAATTTCTAAAAGCTCCATGTGAAGGTGATAGCTTAGGTAGTTGTTCATCCCACCATCACGATAGCACAATTTCTGGCCAATTCCTCGCCCTCTTTATTTGTCGAGGCACTCGTACTGTAAGAGACAAAGGTCTCTTCAAAATCTGTCATCATGGCGCAAAATAGGCATTGGTATAGCTCTCCCATCTCATGGCAACGCGACAGCAAAGCTAACTCACTTCTTAGGGAACAAGACAAGGAGGCGACGGTCTACATCGGAAACATCGACGAGCGCGCAACATCTGCAATGGTATACGAGATCATGCTTCAGATGGGCCCCATCCACAACATCCACATGCCTCGCGATCGTGTTACCCAGACGCATCAGGGCTTCGGCTTCGTTGAGTTTCGCACACCCACAGACGCTGAGTACGCCGCCAATGTTATGAACGGCATCAAACTTTATGGAAAGAGCTTGCGCGTCAACAAGGCTAGCGCAGACAAGCAGCGTGCCGCAGAGGTTGGCGCCGAGCTGTTTATCGGAAACCTCGATCCCATGGTTGACGAGAAGATCCTCTACGACACTTTCAGTCGCTTCGGTCCACTACTCAGCCCGCCAAAGGTCGCAAGGGAGGAGTCTGGCGCGAGCAAGGGTTTTGGTTTTATCAGCTTTGCCGACTTTGAGAGCAGTGATGCTGCGATCGCGAACTTGCACGGACAGTACATCTTGAGTAAGGAGGTTTCGGTCCAGTATGCTTTCAAGAAGGACGGAAAGGGAGAGAGACATGGTGACGAGGCTGAGCGTGAGCTCGCTGCCCAAGCGAAGAAACGGAACATCGTCCCAGAAGCACAGCCTGTGCCCCAGGCGTTTCTACAACCACCACCTGTTGCAGCTGCGCCTCCAGCAGGTTTCGATCCTTCAGCTATGGGAAGAATGCCCCCCATCGGCGCGCCTCCACAGGGCATCCCCGGTGGGTTTGCACCTCCCGGCCGAGGTCCGTCGCCATACAATGCCGGAGTTCCGCCCCCCGGAGCCCCTCCAAGAGGCTCCGTTCCTTTACCACCAGCTCCCTCAGGTTTGCCTGCACGACCCCCACAATCACAGGCTGGATACACCAACCCAGCTGATTTCCACCCGGGCAGTTTCAGGCCACCCTCTGGGTCTCCGGCGCAGGGCTTCCCAGTTGCTCCTCCGCCCGGGTTCCCTGCTCCTCAAGGAGCCCCCGGTGCTGCTGGTGCTCCTCCCCCTGGTTTTATGCCCCCTCCAGGCTTCCAACCACCCCCCGGATTCCGTCGGTGATCTACTATCTTTGCAAAAGTCACAATGCGTCTGCTGAATGGAGATGCCTCTAATAAGCTCAGGACTTAATCGAGTCCAGGAACTTGATTGATGCCGTTATCACGGCTAAAAAGCACGACTTTGTGTCGTATCTAATTACCACTTTCTGCCCACAAACAGCTAAGACCAAAGACATGTATGGTCAGGTATCGTACAGATCTCCACGAACCCCCCGAGTCTGATATACAATCATGAAATAATTTCTCTTTTTAAAACATGCGGGAGAACTCCTTGCCATAAACGCCAGTCCTGTGAGCTCTACTTAACCAGGTTATGCTCTCATTCAGAAACTTCCTGCAAATGCATCTTGGGCTTCTCTTGTCGCCCTCGCCCATTCTTGCGCTGCTTCCTCTTCCTTGCCCTGTACTTCATAAGAGTGAGCAAGCATACCGTCTGCAACGCTCTGCCACAAGACATTGCCACTGCGATGAGCCTGCTTGGCTGCTGCTAGGGCACTTTTCAGAGCTTGATCGCCAACGACGTTCTCGAATAAGCGGCTGCGCATGATAGCGAGTGTGACGGCTGCGCCTAGTAAATTTTTAGTGGATTTGGACCCGGCCATGGCAGACTGTATGTGCTGCTTTTGTTGATTGAGCTGCTGGGGTGGATCGGTGCTAATAGCAGCCATAACGTTATGCCAAGCAGTCCGTAGGTCGACATTGTGGTGGCTCAGGCACAACGGCCTTAGTTCTTCGATCAGATCAAGTGTCGCTCGATCGTTTCGGTGTGATGGATGCTGCATAATCCAAAGCCTGTTCAAACCAGCTAGCATGGCTAACTCGCGATGTGCGGCTTTGACACCAGTTCCACGCTGGTTTAGATCAAAGTCAGGCTTTTGGAAGGTGTTCATAGCAGCATCCAGTTCCCCTGTGCCCTGGTCAAACACTCCCGATAGGTAGATAGCCAGCAAACGCAGGATGCCCTGCGTGGACGGTATCATAATATCCTGAAGCTTCACGATGTATTGCTTTACCAGGTCCCATCGACATTGACTAGCTGCGTATAGGCCAAGTAAGATGGTAAGGTAGCAGTGAGCTTCCAGCCGCCACTCACGCTGCGCAATGGCATCTTGTAATGAAATGGACGGCCCATATCTAAAGCCGGCTGTCACTTTATCCCCTAGTACATATCAATAAAATACCCGGGCAATTAAGCAAATGCCACTTACAAGTATCCAGGACTTGCACGCCTTCCTTCAAGAAATCGACTGTCTGTCGACTTTGTCGACCTTGTGGACCATTTGTGTTGGGCTTGTGCATATTCACGAGTCCTGTCAAAGTGAGGCTAGACATGTTAGCTAAGTTGGGGAAAATGTGTTAAGGGTGGTAGCTCACACAAGGGAGTTCAACTCGACTTTGGTCATGAATGACATGACAAGAAAATCCTGTGGAACACCCTCACCGCTTTGAATGATGCCCGCTGTATCACTACTAATAGTCTGGCCGGTAGAAGGTTGCTTCTTGACCGGAATGAGAAAGTCAGACTTGACGTTATGCCAGTCGGTGCACGCATCCATGCGATCTTGAAGCATTTTAAGCTTATCATGCATCAAATCCATGCCAGAGTGGTTGATAGTGCAGACAAGATCCAGGAGTAGCGTCAGTATATCAAGTTGCATGATATGAATAGACGGTTCACACTGGTACTTCGCTACTTGAGCAATACAAGCTTGGACTTTTTCAAAGTTACCATCTTTGGAAGCCTTGAGAAGTGCCAGACCTTCAAGAATGAATGCAAACACACTCAGGGCATCGTCGCCACGGGAGCTAGCTGTAATTTGGATAGAGCGAATGTTCTCCAATGCACTGGCGTCAGCTGTCTGACCAAGCTCCATGTAAAATGAAGCCTTCAATAGTCTGAAAGCATAAACCCATTGGATGTGTTTGTAGCTGTGAAGTAAGTCAATAGATGCCGGACTTCAGTTGCTACGGAACTTACGTTTCACAGTCAGCGATTTGACGATCAGCTGCATTCAAAGCAGCCTTGTGATTTCGCTGAAACAGGAGCTTCAACCTGATATAATCCATGCAATATTTGAGATCGGCCAAGCCATTCTGTGGGAGTCGGTCAGCTGTGCAGTACGGAGGTAAGTTGGTCGTCGCTTACCTTTTCGCAAAGAGAAATGCCTTTTGTGACAGCCGTCTCAGCTTCCATTGGGTTCTCTGTCTCTTCTAATACTATCGTGGCGTACCTCAACCGCATCTTTGCTTCTTGACGCGGAGATAGTCTATTACTTTGCAAACACGCCTCTAGACACGCCAGGCCTGTCGAGATCAGTTTCTGGTACTCGTCTATCCGCGTGGCATTTAGTGACATCGCGACATCATGTACGGAACCACGGGCCTTATCAAAGCACTCTTCGGCCACTGCCACCATAAGATGGACAGTGTCAAGGGGCCTACTTTTTGGCGTGCTTGCGGGTGATTTCTTGGTAATACTCGGAGAGCGAGCATTAATCGCTGGTGAGTTTACCACGGATGAGAGAGGGCTCGGTTTTGCCCGGGGAGTGGCCATTTGAGGTTGTGTCTGCATAGGTTGGTGATGAGATGCCTGGACTTTTGGCTGAGGAGGCGGAAGAGGCTGAGTTTGTGGGCTGCTCAGCATAATATCCATAGGCTTGACAGTGCCTGATTCGTACTGCGTGTCCCAGTTCGCTGTCTTCCCTGTGTGAGATGTAGGACCGCCTTGTGTCTGATCCATGGATACTGGTGGGAGCGATGGCAGTTTTTGGATGTCTTGCAGATTCACATAGACCATCTGCTCCGGTTCTTGCTGTGCAACTGGCTGTTGCGTGGTTGGTTCCGGGACTGGCTGTGCAACTATCTCCGATGCGGGCTCATCTACATCTATTATTATAGGTTCCTGCGCAGGTTGTCGAATTATCTCTTGCTGCTGTTTGGAAGGGTCCTGGCGTGGTTTCTGGCTCTGTTTTATTTGTCGAGCCTGTGGCTGAGCCGGCGAGGCTACCTGCTTTGGTGCAGTTTGCGGTGATGGCTGAGGAGCCGTCACCTGAGGTTGCTGCTGATAGTGCGCGTGCTGCTGGTATTGTTGCTGTGACGTATGCTGCTGCGAATACTGTTGGTGTTGAGACCGTTGTGGCTGCGCCTGGGGGAGTGAATATCCTTGATTTTGGGGTATCGAAGAAGGTCTCTGCTGCGGTGAAGGGACGTGACCAGACTGCCTTCTCGGTTGAACGTGTTGTTGAGGCGACGCGACGTGCTGCTGGTACATATGCTGCTGTTGCTGTTGATGATGATGCGATTGTTGATACTGTTGCTGATACATCATGTTCTGCCCCCCCGGGGATTGCTGCTGCTGCTGCCAAACATTCGCTGGAGGTGTATATTGCGTGGCAGCTGGTTGCATCTGGTGTCCCCCATACGCTTGTCCCGTTGTATCGTATCCCTGAAAAGTCGTTTGCATGCCGCCGAACTGCGCTATCTGCTGCTGCTGAAGGTACGTCTGTTGTTGCTGCTGCTGACCCTGCTGTTGAGGCATCGAATAGAACTGCTGCTGGTGCTGATGTTGAGGGTTCGTATACTGCTGGTAACCGCCGGGCATATAAGATGAAGGCGGATTCATGTCGGGCACTGGCAGCGGTTGCTGTGAGCCTTGTTGGCTCTGGCCCTGGCCCTGGCCATGAAAAGGCCTGTAGTTCATGGCCTCTCCTAGGTCACTGTATTCCGCTTTCTCGGTATTGATTTCAGCATTCGATCTGTCGTTTCGTCGCGGTGCGCAGACCAACGCGATTGCGCTTCATGGTCCGTCCTGGTCTGTCGGTGCGTTTGCCATTCACGGACGGGGTTGTATCGGCTCGCTTGTCAAACACAACAATCTATAGCGCAATCTAGCGAGGCTCGTTCGTCCTGCTCGTTATTATCTTGTTTGCTGCGTCTGCGGATTCGATCGTGTTAGGTTTAAACCATAAAACAATGGAAAGGCACGAGTGCGACAGGATCCTATCGTCGTGTCGCAGAGCAATGTGATTGGCCGAGGCGGTATGGAAATTGCGGAACTACAAGTTAAACTAACGATTATTCGATGGAACCAACAAAACTTCCTTTTGTGAGCTTTATCTTATTAGTGTGACTATTGTTATCTTTACTTGCACTTGTTATTGAAGACATTAATAGAGACTCATAAGTTAAATTATTCATCATGTGCTGCAATCGTTGCTCGTGACATGCTATTATCTTACACCTTGCGATAAGTTTCCGACATGTCTGCTACTTTTGAACAAACCCAAATGCAATAGATCATCCCTACCAAAACAGAGAAAATCCAAGGCCCATGCGCACTTCTATAACCATACCGCTGTGCGTCAGGGCATGCAAGATCCTCCTCCTTGGGTATTAGAAGACGAAACAACCAAACATAAGAAGAAACTCCAACGAAGTCTGCCCACTGCTAATCCTCCGTTACATATGTAATGATCAACCCATGCAAACCCATTCAGCAAAGACACACCATCGAGCTGTGCGATCTGCGAGTACAAGACCTCGCCATACACCCTTCTCTGAACACTTGATTATTGTCTCCCAGGTTCCACCATCACTAGCAGTTTCGCTACCTGAGAGACTTCGACCTCCAACGTGAATACCCTTACGATCCTCCTTCCTCATAAGACGGAGGATCTTGCCTCCCGGAGTTTGAATCGCCAACTTGGCAGGCTTCTTCCCAGCCACAGTGCCCGTAGCTGAGCTTGGGGTCGAGCCGCTAACACTGGACGCATTCATGCTCAGCGCTGAACTGGGGCGGGCGAACGGTATGGGGCTGGTGCCGCCTGGATTAGATGACGGTGTAAGTGCCGATCCACCCAGCGAACTTGGGTGCTGTCTGATGGCGAAGACAAAAGTATTGTTAAGAGCAAGCCTTTGACACTGCGGCTGAACCACATAGATATCATGCCGCTGTGCGTGAGGAGTTGGATGTCTTGTGACAAACTCATAGGGCGGGTTTTC